CATTCGCATTTGTTTTGTGTTCGAGTAATTAGATTAAGCATACGGCCCGTTGGCCAGCTTCAACTGCCAGCCAGCAGTTGGAAACGGAACGCGCAGCTGTCAAGTGAATCCACTCATGAGCAAATTAAATGTTGTAAAATTCATCCATTGATTGCATAAGCACTGTCCAGCTCCCAGTTTACCCATGAGCAGAAGCCAGTGTAACTCGCCAACGCGTCAGACGAAACTCACGTTCAAGCGCAGCTCGAAGAGCAATCTCATCGAGTATGAGCGCATGCAGCTGACAGCTGGCGATTTGGCATCAACTCCAATGCCAACAGCAGCTGGAGCAGCCAGCACATTTGCTCCAACCGATAAAATGCAGCTCAAGTTGAGCGCCAGTAAAATCAAGCTGCAAAGCACAGCCACAGAGCAACAGCTAGATCCGCAGCAGCAGCAGTTGGATGCACTGCGTCGCAAGTCGGCGCCGCAGCTGTTTAGCTTTAGCATTGCGCCTCCGCTTTTGGCTGTGCTGGGCGATGGCCAAACAGTGCCACGACTGCCCGCCATGGAGCTGACCAGCTGCATGCGACGTTCACGCACGCTGGGCGTGCACACGGAGGCTCTCGTCCCGGACAGCAACAGTGAGCCCAGCAGCAGCAGCATTACCGGCGGCAGCTCCACCTCACCGGAATCGCTGCTGGATCACGTATTGAGCGGCGCATCGGCCGCCTCCGTGCAGAGCAGCACTGCCAGCGACATTACAGTCGCACCACCCCCACCCCCACCCCCTCCAGCAGCGGCAGCAGCAGCTGCGATTGTGTTAAGCCCACACCCGTACCGAGCTCCAGTGCCGCTCAAGCCGAAACGCGTGCTCAGCCTGAAAGCTTCACCGGAGCTGCGCGTGTCGCCACCCACGCCGGATAGCGGCGTTCCTCTGGAGGTGCTGCTTCCGTCAGCAGGCAGTGAGTACTATGACAGCGGCTTGTTGGTTTCCAGGAGCCGGACGCCTTCGCCGGCGTGCACGCCGCTGGTGTCACCCTCGTCCAGCTGGACGCTGCCGCCAGAAACGAACTGTGTGAGCATCGTTTATCCCGAGGAGCTCAAGTGCGGCATATGCATGGATGTCTACACCGATCCGCGTACGCTGCACTGCCTGCACTCATTTTGCCTGCAGTGCCTGGTCAATGAGAATCTCAGGGAGGAGGCACTGTGGGAGGAACGCTCTAGCTACAGCCTGCTCTCCTCCACGCCGGACACAGGCAGCGAACTGGCCACGATCTCGCCGGCCAGGCAGCGCGGCGCAAGTCTCAGTTTGCGCAGCAAAAAGTCCTTGGATCGCCTGACGCTGCGGGTAAATTGGAGTTCAGTTGTTGCTCTTCATGGTTTCATGATCTATGTGTGTGTTCCAGGTTAAAGGTGATGCCAAACGCTCGACCTCGGCGTGCTCTTCCAGCACACGCTTGAACGCCAGCTTTGCCAGTGAGCCGGAGTCTACGCGCTCCATACGCTGCCACGTATGCCAGTTCGTCACGGAGCTGTCGAACTTGGGCGGCGTGCGGCAGCTGCCGCAGAACTTTCTGCTGATGCGACGGATTGAGGCACTGCGTCTGCAAGCCGGCGACGATATCATCTCGCGTGTCTGGTGCTCACTGTGCAGCGAGGAGATAAGCGTAAGATCTGAAGTGGGAAGACATATTGGAGCTCCTGCCGCCGAAGCTAACCAGTTTGTTTGTTGGTTATACTTTCAGGCCACCTATCATTGCATCAGCTGCACCCTGAATCTGTGCACGCTGTGCAAGGAGGCACATGAGCGACAGCGGAGCACGGCCAATCATCGCATGCGCAACATCCTGGAGCTGCGACGTGCACGCAAGCAGAAGCAACAACAACTGGGCTTGGGGGACAGCAGCCATGTGCTGCTCAAGTGCGGCCTGCACGGCTTCGAGCTGAAGTCATTCTGTATGGCTTGCCGGCAGGTTAGGCTTTCAGGATTCCACTCGAATTCCATTGTTAACTCTGTTCACCCGCTCTGCAGCTGGCTTGCCCGGACTGCCTGGTGCTGCAGCATCGTGGACATCGCCACGAGACCGTTGCCAAGGCAATGACCCAGCTGCAGGTGACCAAGCATTTGAACGAGGCCACGGAGCAAACGCGTCCGCTATGCCAGTATGCGGAGCACTCGATCGAGCGGCTGCACGATATTACACGCAGCATAAATGCCAGGTGTGATGACATACAGGCCCAGGTGGAGAGCTATATGGATCGTTACGTGGAAGCGCTTCAGGCGCATCGCAATACGCTGCTGCAGCAGATCAATCGGGCCAGGGAATCCAAGGTGGAGCTGATACTGCACCAACAACTCGAACTGGGTAAGGATTGAGCGTTAAGTAGAAGGAAAGAATCCAAGCATGCCGGAAATCCTATGGCTATATCAATTCGGTTGTTAATACTGAGAGATCCAACCATTATTTAGCCGAAAAAGGAACAGTTTTTTTATACCAAATATTGAAACTTTAATCCTCTAGAGAAACGCACGCAACAGGCTATGGATGTGATACGCTTTAGCCAAGAGCTCTGCGACATTGGCGCCGATGTTGAGATACTAAGCTTCGCCCGGATTCTCCTAAAACGCTTCGAGTTTTGCCAACAGTTCAAGCCGCCCGTCGATCCCAAGGTGCGTATGGGTCAAACGCTGGAACTGTACTGAAACCTTAGGGGACTCGCATAATAAAATCCTACATAAGCGGACATTTTAGTCGAATCAACAACAAATTTATATTCGCAATACAATTTGGCAACTTTCAACCACATTCCGCCTTGCAGCAACTGTACATGTGACAGTTTTCGGACATAACCTTAAAATAACACAGTCACGCTTTTTGAGTACAGTACAGTTCCTAGCAAATGACTCGATTCATTCATTCAATTTCTTACAGATATCCGATTCACTACATTTTCTATCGAAAATACGAGCGCCTAGCACCAAGAATCAGCATGATATACCACTGTACGGCATTATAACCATGCAAACCGTTGAGCCTTCTCTGTGCACCCTACAATGGGAAGGCTTCTCGCAGCTGCGGCTGCACAAGAAGGTTGATCTGCTGCTGTTGTCACGCGACGCGGACGGGGTGGCGCTATGCCATGGCGGGCTGGAAATCAATTGCATTATCAAGTACAAGGATGCCAGCGTCAAGTTTCTGCCCATTGAGGTGTCTGATCATCGCGACGGCACCTACAGTATTTCCTTTACGCCCGACACACAGGGCACACTCATACTAACTATCTCCATTAATGAGCGGCAAATCAAGGGCAGCCCCTTCACCTTTCACTCCCGCCAGGTGCGTCCGCACAGTGGCATCTACCACTGCTGCTCCTTCTGCTCCGGCAAGGGCAGTAAGACCGTCAAGTGCTCGTGCGAAGGCCGAATGCCTGGCTATAGCGGCTGTGGTCACGGCCATGCGGGTCATCCAGGTCGTCGGCATTGGTCTTGCTGCGGCAATGTGCTCGAAAATTCCGAATGCAATGTGGCGAACAAGTTGCTGAATCCCTAGAACTACATCTGGTTAACACATGGCGTCCACATTTTGAGATGCCGCTTACACAATTTTGAACATAGGCTAGTTCATGTTTATTAATTGGAATTTTATGATAAAAGTACATATGGTTTAATATGCTGAGAAAAAAAAGTTAGTTTTGAACAAACGATTTGGGACCTGCAATACTTAATCTTCGTTGTCCGAATACCAGGAGAGGCGCTCCTCATAGAAGCGTATTACCATTTGAGGTATCTTAACGTTGGCCACAGTCGATGGCACCATTTCCGCCTGATCAACGCCCTTAAACTGAATAAGGAATGTCAGCCGGCCATTATTATCGGAGGCGCCTAGTATCTTTTCAGCTTCCAAGCCGCGATCGAATCCAGTGCCGCCCGCCGGTACTATATCGCCGGTATCCTCAGACTCGACTCTCTTTGATTTGCTACCTGCTGGACCAGCTGAAGTACATTGCTTATTACTTGGCATGTTGACATATATAGAATTCTTCACACATATATATCAAACAAATTTATATCTGATTGCATATATATATATGAAAGGACAATTGAGGTGTCGCCTACCTGGCTCTTCGGATTTCCGTTTACTGCCGCTGCTGTTGCTGGCTGTGGTACTGGTACGGCCGGTCTCTTTGACCTTGGTGCTGCTGCCGGGACGCTCTTTCTTCGAAGAGGACGAAGAGGAAGAGGCTGCCGCATTGGCCTGCATGGGAAATCCGTAGTAAAGTAAACAATTTACAAAACAACTGTACCAAATTCACGACTTACCTCATCCTTGCGACTCAGCTCATATTGTTGTATAAGATCCTGGCAATCAAGATTTCCTTCCGGCTCCCAAGTGTTTTCAGTTTCTGCATAACCCTTCCATTTCAGATAGTATTCCACCTTTAAAATGGGAATGATCATTAGCCACATGTCCTAGCCTCCCACTCGAGACGCTTTTCTCCGTACAAACCTTTCCTTTGCGCACACGACGATCTAAAATCTTTTCAACGGCATACTCCTCCTCTTCTTCCTCAGCGCCAGAGGATGCATTGTTTGTTTCAGGATTATCGGTCTTCTTACCCATTTTATGTGTGTATTTTATTTTAAACTCTTAAGGAAAAAAGGGAAACGCGCATGTACATATGTATATTTGTATGTATATATATATATATATATATATACATATGTAAGAGCACATATAAAATGTGTGCAGATTTTAGCGCAAATTGTATTGAAAAATAAAATAAACACACGCTTACCACAAACTATTAATTTTCAGTTACTGTTTATTATACAGTTTTTCACTTTTCTCTTAATATTCTGCCAGCGGCAATCGAATGTACGCAAAACAAGAAGAAAAAGTGCGCGTTTACAACTGATGCCGCCGCTTACTTAGAAAAAGAATGCGGCAGAATCGGCGTCTATGTCGCATTTACGTTAACACGAGAATGTCAATGCCAAATCAAGCAGGTGAATGGCAACGCAGTCGACGCAAATTATTTGCGCCAAATATTTTATCAGCAAGAAGCAATTCAGTCTCGAATTAAATATGCCAAAAATCAGGAAGCAAAAAAGTTCGTCGTCTGACAGTGACAGCGGTCCTGATGATGTAAGAATTACAGAATTTCAACTGGCGTTAATTAAATCAACAATATCTAACAAAACAATAATTTGCAGCGTAATCCACCGCCAAGCAAAAAGGCCAAGGAGACCGGCACCGCTGAAAAGTCAAAAAAGGATGATGGAGATGGTGGTGTTAGCACATGGACACTCGAGGGCATGCGTCAGGTGCGCATCAATGAGTTTCGCGGCAAAAAAATGGTTGACATACGCGAACACTACGAAAAGGATGGCAAAGTCTTGCCGGGCAAGAAGGGTATCTCGCTGTCTGCTACACAATGGAAAAAATTACTTGCAGTTGCAGACGATGTCAGCCGCGCTCTTGAAGAATGAGGCCAAAATCAACAACAACAACAACAACAACAACAAAAAACATGAGTCATAAGTAGTACTTAGTATTCTTTTTCTAATAAACAAACTACATACTTATCTACACACACAAACATTGATCTTGTTTAGGCATATTTTTGATTAACTGAATTAATTGGTAGGCCCTAAAAGTACACAGCGAGCAAAACAACAACAGTTAGTAGTATTAGAAATGGCAACCAGGTCTTGATGAAGCCACAGACACCCACGTAGCGGGCGCAAACGAAAAACCAGAAGCACAGAATGATCATGTTCCAGCTGGTGCTGTCCTTGTATTGCATATTGCAGAGAGCCGTCGCGACATGCGAGTGACAGTTATCACAAAATATGTTGTGCATGCGCGTGCCGTATAGGACGGACGCTTTCGAGACACCCTCATCCCAGGCATAGGAGCCACCTTCGACGTTTTTCGGATGCAAGCGCAAATAGCGTGTGGGACGTCCAAATGCCATTCTGTCCTCCGTCACCAGATATGGTCCAGCAAAATCCCTGATTACGCCATTACTCATGCAGATGCCCATGTGACCGATGAATGGCAATATCCAGGTGAGCACTGGTATTGGTGTCCAAACAATACAATATGGAAAGCGATCCAGATCATAGTCAATGGGCGGCAAACGCTGTGAAACATGTTCTTCGGCTCCACCCATAGCGCGCTCGATATCCTCCGGTTGCTGCGGATTGCTGGACGCTGACGACGACGGCATGTTAAAAAATGAGTGTAGGACAAAACACAACAAGCACGACTCACTAAATGACTGCCTTGATATCAATATGCCACTGCCACTCAAAAAATTTTCCGATTATCATTAAAAGCTGATAACGTCGGAAAACCCACACACTCACACACACACACTGTATACTTACATACCTTTTTGTTTACAAAGCAAAAAGCTTATCGATATGAAACATATCGATAACTTTTCAAATGTCACTGAAACAGCTGACTGTTGCTACAGTTGCAGCCGCCTATAACGGATTCAAATTTCTCGAAACAATTAAGGTCAGATGGCGCGATGTCGTAAGAACGAGTGCCCAATAGGAGTATATTAAATGGCAAATAGTGAAAATGATTTCGGTGGACATAAAATCTGCAGCAAGCGTTTGAACGAAAGTACACCATAATTGGTTCTAATCGTAGCAAAAGTAGAACGCAAAAGCTTTACTCATATTCAACGCTGAAATTAGAACGTTTAGAAAATATATAGAGCCATGACGCAGGTGTTCATAAATGGTGCTAGAGACGATGCCAATGTCCGCGAGCACGACAGTTTGGGTGCGACAAGACTTGTTAATTACTCGATAAATATGGATTTTAGCGTTCTTTATTTGATTTTCAGATGCTTCCATACAGGAGCTGATCAGGGCCGCAGCGGAAGCGCGAAATCATGCCTATTGTCCATATAGCAACTTTGCCGTGGGCGCTGCGATACGCACCAGCGATGGTGCCATCTACACTGGATGCAACATTGAGAATGGCGCCTATGCTGCCAGCATATGCGCAGAAAGAACTGCCACAGTGAAGGCCTTAAGGTGAACAGTTTTTGCCCTAAAAATCGTTTTGTTTTTTTTTTCATTTAATTAGTGTCAATTTGTATTTTTAGCGAAGGCAAACGCGAGTTTGTGGCCTGCGCCGTGGTGGCAGAGCAGGATAACGGCTTCACAACGCCCTGCGGTGTGTGTCGTCAGTTTCTGTCCGAATTTGCCGTCAATGGCAAGGATATACCGCTGTATGCAGCCAAGCCAACCAATTTGCCGCTCCGTGTGCTGTGTACCAGCGTGCTGGAACTGCTGCCCAATAGCTTCCGGTTTCTCAATGGCAAATAAGGCGCACCATTCGTCTTATACCATGTGCAATACAACGTTTGAATATCCCTTATTTAACCAAGTGCAATTGTAAAACTACCCAGCTTTGTTAACACATACACATATGTACATAATAGTTATATCCCCTACTCTCCCACTTGTAGTTTTTCTGTGTATTTGTTAGGGCAATTTGTCCGTTATCAGCAACACAGCTGCTGCTACTATTGAGCGGTTCGCTCCTCAATAACACACAGCGTCTACACTAAATACTGTCCATTTGTCATCGGACGTTCGTAGGGAACACACGGACCGGCGCACAAAATTGTTTGTGTTACCTCAGCGAACGCGTATATATTATAATTTATAAATAGCAAAATTTATTAATATGGCACATCTGTTAAAAGGCTTGGCCCAGCCAGAAATAACAGAGTCCGTGATCCCATACGGCAAGTTGGGTAAGTGAAAGCATTTCCGTTTCCGATCGCAATGGTTAATATATGTGTCAACTTGTTTACGCAGATGCAACGGTTCAGGAATTGCTATGTGCTGCATATGTGGTGCGCCAGTGCGCCTATGCGCCATACAGCAATTTCAAGGTAGGCTCCGCTTTCCGTGCGAAGATCAACAATCAAATCTTCACTGGCTGTAATGTGGAGAATGCCGCCTTTACGCCAACAGCGTGTGCGGAGCGTACGGCCCTTACCAAGGCCATCAGTGAAGGCTATCAGCAGTTTTCGACCGGCGCCGTGGTCGCCTATAAGCCCGAAGTGTTCATCTCACCATGCGGCGTGTGTCGACAGTTTATCAGGGAGTTTGCTGGCAACACTGATATACCCATCTATATAGCACAGGCATTGGATGAGCGATCGCCCGAGGAGCCGTTCAACAGCGATGATCCCGTGCTTTGCACATCCATTTTCAATCTGTTGCCAAAGAGTTTCCACACCTACTGAAACATCTAGATACATTTCAAGGCTAACATAATCCAAAGGTTTTTCGAATTTGCTAAATAAATAAAATATTGACACTAGTAAACAAAATTACTATTTATAAAATAAAAAACCTGATATGGCCAAAATGTTTTGACCAATAAAAAAAAAAATTTTTTAATTCTTGTAAAATTTCTCTAAAGATATATAAAATAAAAAATATATAAGGATATATAAATAAATAGAGCCTCAATTGAAAATATTTTGAAACGTCGTGAACCAGCTGAATTTTAGGCTCTATAAATCTTAGGGATATTTAATTTTTTAGTTAGCTATATTTTAGGTTGTCTATGACTTATTTAATACATTAATGCGGGGATTCCCCAACTTTTTCCCTGCTTTCGATGCAGTTACCAAGTGCATATTGCGACAAAAGCTTGTTATTAAGAATTTTTACCAGTGTTTTTGGCGTTATCAATAAACCGCTGCGATGATTATTATAAGATGCTGATAATCTAATCGGACTGCTTGTTGTTGACTGGCGTTGTTCGAGCAGAAGATACCCTGTTCCCAGCTCCAAGCTGCCGAAATAAATATTGGAGCGTATTTTTTTAACAAGCCTAAATATGACATCAAGGCAATGGCTTCAAATAAACTGCTCATTGTTTCAGTTTAAGGATCACAAATCAAAAATAGTAAACAAATAAATAGTTCACAATTCTAGAGCTTATAGAATTTGCGAGTTACACAAAAACCAGTATACTCTTTTCGGCGCATTATGGGTACAGGGTATAAATAATACCTCAAAGTGCAATTGATGAAACCAATGAAAATATCTTATTCAGTCGTTCGTCATCGACACGAGTTAAATAATAATAATAAAGGCACAACACGTAGCTAGTCCAGATTGAATGCGTCGTTTTAGTGACGCAGTCAGTCTGGAAACCGAAAAGGTCGAAGCCGGCTTCCATTGCCGTGATTGCCTCCTAGCCGAGGACCCTATTTATTGACCATTCGTTAAATGTGCATATATGGCAGCAGTATTTTTCGAATTATATTCAAAGAATTTCTACAAATATATCTTGGCAAAATGATAACCTCGACTTTATTGAATCTCAGTAGGTCAAGGCTTGATGTAAAGGGAATAACTGTCATGTGGGCAGCATTATAATATTAGCAGTTTTGGCAAGCGATAGAGTCTGTAAAATTACAAAAAAAAAATTATAAATGTCTAAAAATAAAATGTCACAAAAACGCAAGGAATTAAAGAAGTGCATGAAACGCCTTGATGCTCTGCAGAATGAGCTCGCTAAGCGTAAGACGTACAAAAGGCTCAAATGTTATATGGAACAATTGAAGGAGCTGCAGAATGAAGTGGACAGACGTCAGCCGCGCCAAATCGGATATCCTGTCTCTGGGTCGCTTAAGATACCACATCCCGTTAAACTGCATGAGTATACCATTTGCTTTGGTCAACTGGGTAAGTGGCAGCACCTAATGCCTATATGGCAGTCTAGCTGCCAACTCCCTCATTGTCATAAATCCCAAATATCTCCAGATAACTGTGGCCGTGAACTGCTGGAGGATGCGCTCAATGCTCGCTGCTATGCCTATGCACCGTACAGTAATTTTAAGGTAGGCGCTGCTTTTCGCTCCAAAGGCGGTAAGGTGTTCACTGGCTGCAATGTTGAGAATGTGGCCTTCACTCCGTGCTGTTGTGCCGAGCGTACGGCTCTGGTGAAAGGCATCAGCGAAGGTTGCAAGACGTTCAATGCAGGCGCCGTTGTTGCCTATCATCCGGCTGGCTATACAACGCCCTGCGGCGTCTGCCGGCAGTTCATACACGAATTCGCCAAAATGGATATACCCATCTATATAGCACAGGCGCCAGAGTCGAGCGCTAAAGTGCCTGCCTTTGAGGACGATGAAGAGGTGCTGGTCACGTCCATCTATCATTTGTTGCCACATTGTTTTTCGAAATATTAGTTTGTGTAGGGTTAAAATAAACCAGCATATATTTCGCTATTTCAAATCAAATTCAAACTGCGTGTCTAAACATATTTAAGCACCGGATTACCGGAACCATAGACGCCATACTCGCTGATCTTGGCGAACGGTGTAACCGCCTCCGAGACAAGAATTGGCTTCACATCGGTTATATCATATTCGATATATTCCTTGTTCATCTTGGGATCCACATAGTTGTCGCGCACCTCGGTCACGAGACCGGTGTGCGGTACACGTTTAAGCTGATTCTGATACTCCAAGCGGCGTTTGGGGCAGTCGTGTGCATTATTCTCATCGCACATCGTCTCGTCCGCGACACGAGAGACGTGTGCGGTGTCTGGACCGTTCTGTGCCCAGTTCCAAAATGTGATATTATCGTGGGCCGCAATACTTGCCTGCAGATCATGTGGCGTATAATGCACATAGGATAGATTGTATGTGGTGGCTGATGAATCCAAATATTTGGTATAGCCAATTTTAGAACGATCTATGATTATTTTGGTGGTCTCCACTGGCGTGGGCATATGCACTGGCACCGGATCAGTCTCAAATGGCAGCTCAATGTATGTGTACGTGTCCTGGGTCACGCTCGTCATAGGCTTAATCTTGCGTTTCACAAACCGCAAATTGCCCTCCTCAAAGCGCTTCATGAACTGTGTCTTCATGTTGAGCGACGGATTGCGCAAAATATTTGGATCGCCATACTGCAAAGAGGAGCATTTAAAGAAATAGGTATTGTTTCCTAAGAGCATCTGTTATAGCTCACCTTCCACGTGTAATTAGCGCTCACTTCGCTGTGTTGCTTATCATGCAGCAACGGATCACGAACATATATACCCTTATTGGAGCACTCAGTTGGGGCGCTCAACTTGGTGCCCAGTCGTGTGTCCGTAATGTGACGATGTCCGCGATAGGTTGAAGTACGCCAATCCGGTACCTTGTCGCTAACAGGCTGCTTGGGATCAAAGCAACCAAACTCATCCATGATTTTAACAAAGTAAATCCAAAAAACTCAAAAGAAATAAATATAATATATAATGGATAAAATTTTCAAAGTGTTTACACGGGGTAGTTATGTGGAAAATTTAGAGTTTCTTGTTGGTTGTCCTGGCTACGACTACCAAACAATATATGGGTCATAACAATTGGATTGTGTTAGAATGGATGACAGTTTTCAAAAAGATTATTGTATATAATTTTATATTTAGAATTCAATGTTCATATAATAGTAAAGTTCATAGAGGAATGCTCGTTATACAATATACATACATATATAAAAGCGATCTGTTTCACAAACAAATTCATATTCGGAAATGCATATACATTCAAAGCATTAGCTAGATCTTACATATGCCATATATGTATACGTATATGCATATGCATTTAATAATAATATGTAGATAAGAGATAATAAAACTGTTTGCTTAGCAAAAACCAATTGATTTACTCCTTGGAGGCCCTTGGCTAATAATGGTGTGTAAACAATGTGCAGATGATTATGCCTAGCCTGTCGGCATTCAGGCGATTTCCTTAAGGGCCAACAGTGATTGACGCAGATAATCATATTGGCTTTTGGCATGCTTGATCTCCAGATCGGATAACTCAACGAGACTGCAAGAATATTCAGGCATTATATGACTTTCTAAAGATAATATTGCAAGTGTTGTAGTACCTCTTTTTAAAAGCAGCCACACGTCGATTACGAAAGCCAATCAGCTCTTCCTTGCCGCAGGCTGACATAGACTCAAACTTTTCACAGGCCTCCACTTGAGCAGTTTCAGCCTGCATAAAACAGATCAAAGATTAACAAATTGCTCAAACAAATGACAAAAAACATAGCAAAAGGCATGCAAAAGTTGTGTGCATGAAATGCTAAAGAGCATGCGGCAATTGCTTAACGATAGTTTACTTTATGTGAGTGTATCTACTATAATTTTTGAATTAGAATTACAACACACTAGACTAGGGGTGACCAATTTGTTTTAACATTAAATGCCAAATACCTCTTGCACCTCCAAGGGCTGCAGCAGAAGACATAACAACCACACGCACAGAGTGAGACACAAAGAAAAAGAAATGCGAGAGTTCGTTGTAATTGAACAGTAAGAAATGCAAATGTTTAGAAAATCGAATTGCCAAAAATATATAAAAAATGATACTTTTGCAGCCGACACAATTGTTGGATTTGGACAAAAGAAAGAATTATGCTTGGCGCACCAAAGCTGTGTGATCCAGGCAGACAATTATGTTTGAATTGACCTTAAAAATGAAATAATAAAATACATTTTTGTAACAATTTCGATGAATACAAATGCGGTATCAAGTGACATGTTTTAACTAGGCGTATATGACAATTTAAATGTATGTATATAGCACGGACAAACTTTCAGTTCAATTAAATTTACAGTCTTATTTAAATAGAAAAATGTAAAAGCTGACATATTGTCTGCTAGGCTCATAAAATAGAAAATTTTGCTGCCAAGCACCGTGAGCATAAAAAAAACCAAGATTTGAAAAGTTAAGAGCAGCTACTCTGTAATAATCATTACCGCATGAACATCCTTGTTCTTGGAACGCGCCTTCTCCAAATTTCGATTGGCTGTCTCGTAGGCAGCCAAACAACGTAGGCGTCGTATCAACAGAGCCTTGGCTGCATTGCTGTCCCGCTGATAATAGCGCAAAGTGTCGCCCAGCTTTAAATCCTGATCGCTGGCCACGCGTGTTTCCAGATTCTAGTTGGCAAATTTGCAACATATTTTAAAGAACATTGAACATAACTAGAGTAGCTTGCCTTTATGCGTTCAAACACCTCCGCAGCCTTCGCCACAAAAGTCTCCACGTTGCCTTTCTCTGTGGTCGATAGCTGTGTCAGGGCGTTCGATATCTTTTGATGCGAATAGCCGACATCTTTGTGGCGCTGCGTCATTTTCTCAGTGCGCGTTGCTGCCTCACGCAAGTGACCATGGTATTCGGTAAGGAACTGCAGTTCATTCTCAAAGAAGTCATTAACATCGCGCACAGTAGCACTCAGTAGTATCTCATCAGTGGTCTTGCCCAGCGATTTGACAAACCCGCCAAAGATGGCCATCTTTTTGCGCGGCTTAGCACACAGATCCTGATCGTACTCCAGGAACACTTTCAAATGCTGATCAATGCGAAATACGGGATGACTGGCCAGGCGACGTAAAAATACTTCATGCATTGCAACGGTCTTTTTGAACGTGGCCAGGTACTCGCTAGAAGAACGATAAGCAGATAATAAATTGATTTATCACTCAGTGAAAACTTTCTACTTACGCTTCCAATTCGGATTTCATTTTCTTGAACTCCTCCTTGGTCATGTTGCCCTCGCCTTCACCTAGACGCTGCAGCTTCTCACGTGATGCATCAAAGTCTGGTCGTGGCGGGCAGGGCGGAATCTAAAACAGATATGTAATATATTTTTCAGCAATTATGTTTATTTCCTGTGGTGCACTTACAATATAGCCCGCATAGTCTTCATTCTCCTCGATGCGATCGTGCAGCCAAACAAATTCTTCGTGCTGGCGCACCACATTGTTATCCTTCTTGGTGAAGCCAGGCAGTGTGGTGCGTGTGTGAACGGTAAACTTGACCTTTTCCTTCTCGCTTAACGCATCAGAGATCTCCACATGCAGCGAATTTTCGCCCAGAGCAGCTGGTGTCACTGGCGCCGACGAAGAGCTATCCGGTGAAGTGGCACTTCCGCTTCCGTTTGTGTTAGCTGTCGGAGCCAATGGATTTGGTGATGAGATTTCCATAGTTCCACCGTTGTTCTTCGTGGGACTATTCAATAGGTTTGATTCATCCGTGCCGTCCTAATTTGCGAGCAATGCAATAAAAATATCATATACACACTCTCAATTACGCCCATTAAACTGATAAGCAGTTCTTTGTGTGCGCGTCTTCTGTGCAATAATGGAGCGCGGACTTTAACCGCTAATTCTTTAAAGCCACTGTATTAACCTTTTTAACTTACCATCATTTTGTTTGTTTTTTTTTTTTTTTTTGTTTTTAAATAACAATAACTTTAATTTAACAACTGGCCTGCGCTTGTGTACGAATTTGCCGTCGAGTTTGTTAGTGCTGCCAGATCAATGAAATGACCCACCATAGTAATAATTTCTAAGGTAGTGTAATTGAGCGTGCTCACAGAGTCATTTAGCACAAGTTTGTGACGTCAGTGTGGTACGCGTTTCTGAGCGTTTCTTTTCGCTACCTCTAAAAGAGTATTATAGTTTTGATGCGGGTGGCAACATTTCCCACAGCAGATAAAGAAAAATTGTTTATACCCTGCACCAAAGCGACGATTAGCAGAAAACAGAGTTTCGTCAAAGCTCAGGCAGCTAACATGTCCACAAGCGATGGAGCTACGGGAAGCAAACAAGCGCGCCTGGTTAGCAATCACAATAGCAAGGATTTGAATGGCACAACAAGCGGAGGTGATGCAGTCAACGCTCGTGACAAAGTGGCGCTAATAACCGGCATAACGGGACAGGTGGGTGTATTATGTGCGGCAAGGAGGGGGCATTATTTGTTAGATATGTGGTAACAAGAGCTAAAACCTGAGTCATCGATTGATTGGCTTATGTCTTAATATTTGTTAATTACTAGCGTGTTCAGCTTATCAGTTGTTCAATACCCTTGGCTTGGGTGCTCTGATTTTCTTATAAAATGTGTAACCCATACAAAGAGACATTTAACCCAAACAAAATGCATATAGAGTTGCTAAGACAATGTGGCCAGTGTTGCCGATTCAGGAGGATTAGTTCAATATTAAAAATTGTCATCTCAATAGGCTACACTGGCTAGTTTTCTGGTCTTCTAAGTTAACTTAAGGGAACCTGGCATAGAAATATAACGCACATAGGATATGAGAGCAAGCGAGGGTATTTATTCTTCGATAAGTATTCTCGTTTGCTTCATTTGTAAATGCTTACGTGTTACTTACTATTGTTTACGTTGCTTGCAGGATGGCTCATATTTGGCCGAGTTTTTGTTGAAGAAGAACTATGAGGTGCATGGGATCATTCGGCGCGCCAGCACCTTTAACACAACACGGATTGAGCATTTGTATGCGGATCCGAAGGCGCACAAGGGCGGACGCATGAAATTGCATTATGGCGACATGACGGATAGCAGCAGCCTGGTGAAGATCATTAACATGGTTAAGCCAACAGAGATTTATAATCTGGCTGCACAATCGCATGTGAAGGTTTCATTTGATTTGAGCGAATACACGGCAGAGGTTGATGCCGTTGGCACGCTGCGCATTCTGGACGCCATACGCACTTGTGGCATGGAGAAATCGGTTAAATTCTATCAGGCCTCCACGTCCGAGCTGTATGGCAAGGTTGTGGAGACCCCACAGAATGAACAGACGCCATTCTATCCACGTTCGCCTTATGGTGAGTACACAATATCAAATTAAAGCCGGTTTCTTAATTTCCCGAATTACAGCTTGTGCCAAGATGTACGGCTTTTGGATAGTGATCAATTATAGGGAGGCCTACGACATGTTTGCCTGTAATGGTATACTCTTCAATCATGAGAGTCCACGGCGTGGTGAGAATTTTGTGACACGTAAAATAACGCGATCTGTTGCAAAGATATTGCTCAATCAAATGGAATACTTTGAGCTGGGTAATCTGGACTCGAAACGTGACTGGGGTCATGCCAGCGACTATGTGGAGGCCATGTGGATGATGCTGCAGCGCGATGCGCCAGCCGATTTTGTAATTGCCACTGGCGAGACGCACAGTGTGCGTGAATTTGTTGAGGCTGCATTTAAGCACATCGGACGCGAGATCACGTGGCGTGGAAAGGGTGTTGAGGAGGTGGGCGTAGAGCGCAACACTGACATTGTGCGCGTGCGCATCAATCCTAAGTATTTTCGGCCCACAGAGGTGGATCTGCTGCAAGGCGATGCCTCAAAGGCTAAACGCGAACTAAACTGGACGCCAAAAGTTAGTTTCTTGGAGCTCGTGAGCGACATGATGAACGCCGACATTGAGCTAATGAAAAAGAATCCCATTGCATAGTGGGATGTATCACGACTTGGCATAAACTGGCACAAAGTTTGATTTATACATATATACATATATATAGGATATAGACTTAAGTATTTAAAGTGTTTTGTGTATGTGTGTTTCTCGACGGGATTTGCAATCATTCCTTTGTTTTCTATGCCGTAGATGTCTCTGTGTGGTCTTTCCTTAAATGTTTTTTTTTTTGTAATTTTTATCTACATCTAACGAATAAATATGTTTAAAATACGAACAGACACTGAAATCGGGGATCAATTTGGACGAACTGGAGAATTCCAGACGAGTTTTAATTTTTAATGTTCAACATATAACCAATAGTAGCTGACTGAATGTAGCGTCCTTTACGTTTCCTTCTTGCCAAACGGATTTATCTTAGATAGCCAGCTTGAAGATGAGGTCGATGATTCACTGCCAGATCACCCAAGAGAAAAGGTTACAATTTGAGCTGAATTAAGAGCAAGGCCGATACTTACAGCTTGGTCAATGCTTCAATGTCCGCATCCTTGTGCTCACTATTAGCAATCGCATCTTTTGGCTCCTTTTTGCCTGCTTCGGTTATGCCCGCCTCCCGCAGTCGTTCGATCAATTTAGTACGAAACTCAACCTTATGCGGTAGCACCTGTTCCGCTGCGCGCAGTTGATGCTGCAGCTTGCGTATGGCTTCGATATAGGTGTGGCCATACCAATCGATCTCCTCGGGTGTGTATGATGCCAAATATGGACTGTATTCCTTGAGCACATCTTTCTGATGCTTGGGCTCCGCTGCCAAGGCTGGACATCCCAGCTGCAGAGCCTTCAGAATCTCGCGTTTCAGTTTCAAAGCCAGTGCCGATCGCAAATCACATGCCAAATTTTTGAGCAGATAATGATCAAATCCATGACATTCGTGAATCTGCTCCAGCGTGCGCTCCGTCACCACCACCGACATATATTCATTTAGCACTAGGCTGTGCACCACGGAGCGACGCAGAGTCGGCACCCAAAAGTGCGGCACACGTCGCTTCGTCTGTTCGCGCTTCTGGAACCCCTTGATGACAGCCTCGCCGCCCCATATGCCCTGATGCGATTCAGGTGTATCGATAAGGGGCAGCGGTATGCTTTGTATCGGTTTGATGGCATGCGTAACCTCGTCACGCTCCCACTCGCTCTCCTTGGGTATGTAATGTACCGCCGCTGGCTTTGTTAATTTCCATTCACGCCAGAATTTCTTATAGGCATCTGGCAGCTGGGCCCCGAGTCCCTTCTCGAAGCGACCAGGACGCTTAAAGCCATTCAGTAGCTTAACGCCCTGTAAACGATAAAAATATTAGACAAATTGCGTTGCGATTGCGTCACAGAGAAACGCGAAAACAATTGAATTGTCACACTACACACCTGCGGTGTTGCGTGGGCCATTCTCTACAGTGGTTAATATGTTGACGGAGTTAATTTACAAACAAATTTAGTCTGTTGTACTAAAACTATTTTCTGTTAAATATTTTTGTTTTCGGCTAGGCTAACAACCGTGCGCTATCGTCTTCCTCACGTTTGACAAACAGCTGACGCGTGTTAACGTGCCACTGTGAATGTCTGTGATTGGCAAAATTTTTTTCGACAAGCTGGCAACTTCTATACTTCGTCTAATTCACAAAATTTGTTGAAATAAATACAAAGACATGTCCAGCCCAGATCCAGGTATGAAATAACTTTACATAAGCATTTAAAAGTTAGCTGATTTCATTGTCTAGAAAAAACAGCGGAGCCGCAAAAATCTGGCAATGCGCCACCTCATTACAGCTTTAATTTCGACAGCGCAGCTTCCATGGTTCGTATTGACTTTCAATTTTTGGACAATTGTTTATCATTTTTATTTAATGCGCAGAGAGCTCCGCCCCCCTCGTACGAGCAGAGCCAACAGCAAAGAGTAAACTATATGCCGTCACCAGCTGGACCTGCGATGCAGATACACGTACCAAGCAACCAGTATTATGGCATGACGCATCATCAACAATTACCTGTTATGCATAATGGTTCAGATTATGGCTTAGTCGGACCCAGCACCTCTGCAGGTGCTGCTGCTTCGCATGTTATTAACGTAGACCCACGTGCTGAGCTGCGTACCACAACTTCGGGAGCTGTTGTTATACCTCCACCGCCGCCCGGCTGCTTGCCCACGCCCGCACAATTGGCCGCCATGCAGGGACATCCGGTGGTGGTGCAACAAAAGAAGCGTTCCTTCTTCTAAGCCGTCAGGAATTGAATCGGAAGAAGCAATTACTCGAATGCCTCCTAATTATTATATGCTTTTAATGTTTACTTAATAAATGATATTTCGTCTTGTTCTCGCGTATATTTGAAAATTTTCTATGCACATGTACATGGCGCATTCACGAAAGATGTGGAACTAATAACTACTACTGATGGGGACTACTCGAAAATGTTCTCAAAGTATGTACTATCAAAGGACTGGACACGCACGAAACCATCTTCACCACCGGAGGCGTAACTCTTGCCATCCGGATGGAAGGCCAGACTGTTGATTGGACCGAAATGGCCCTTAAGACGTGCAAACTCCTCCTCGTAGATCAGATGGAAGAAGCGTGAATCGAATTTGCCAGCTTTGGTTGACGTTGTGGTCACCTCCATGGCATCCTGACCACCGCCAAGCACCACATGATCCAGTATGGGACTGATCGCAGCCGAATTCACTGGTCTTTCCGTTTTGTACGTCTTCAGGCACATCAGAGACTCGGAATCGAACAGTTTAGCTGTGGTATCTCTGGAAGCGGTGACAAACATGGTGCCATCCTTGCTGAGCTGCATGTCATTGATTCCGGCAGTGTGATCGGTGCCAGAGTCAACCACCTTCTGTCCCTTGCGTATATCCCAAATGGCAATGTTTCCATTGTCGTGGCCTGCAAAATATATCGGATTATAGCTGACAACTAACCCAACTGTATGCCACTGACTTACCAGTAATGATGGTCTCATCCAGTGGGCCCCACAACATGGATGTAATCTTCGACTCTACCATGGGTATGCGCAGAGTGGGCTCTTGTTCCGATAGGCTTGAATCCGCATTGCGTACATCGATGATGAACAGCTCGCAGTTCTGACCCATCGCTTTGTCCGTGGAGTAAGCTGCCTGGTTGCCAGAGAAACTGAAATTGCTGGTACGCACCGAAGATTTTGTGGGTATGGAGGCAATCACAGTGCCGTATTCTACATCCCAGATTTTGGTGGTCATGTCACCAGCGCCGGTGATTAGCTTTCTGCTCTCCCAGTCCACATCCAAACACCATACGGCTCCCTGATGTCCATCGTAGGTGCCAAGACGTTCGCCGTTCAGCGAGTACCAGACATTTGGTTTTTGATCCTTGGAACTGGAGAAGAGCAGGTCGCCCTCGCGATTGTATTTGATTTGCGTTATGGAACGCTCGTGGCCTTGCAACATTAACGGACGCTGCAAAACAACAATATTGTTAATTAATTGCAAAAAATCAGCACGAAAGCGCCGCCTTTTTAAGGTTATGTTGTGAACTGAATCACGGAAGCATCTTTGTTAGAGCAACAATGCACATGATTGACACAAACAATAACGCAATAATAAATAACTTTTTTGAGCTGTTTTATATTGTACACACACCATTTCGTAATTGATTATATATTTATTGCGAGAAAACAAAACAATTTCTGCAACATCCACGCAGCACGAACGTCAAAAAGAGCGAGCATACAAGTTGAACGGGGCTGTTATGCTTAGCGCTGCCAACTTGATACAAAACAAAATTTTAATATGAAATAACAGCAGTGTGGCAACGCCATACATCTAACTGAACCAGCCTTTCTTGTTCAATGAATTCCACTTTGCTACATTAACCAAAATTGATGACACACACTGATCCTTGTCTCGATTCTGGCCGTAATAATCGACAAATTCACCATCAGGATTGACCAGGTACATGATAATGGTGTGATCAACAATATAATCGTTGTCCTCATCGCGCGGTCCAGCGCTAAAATATACACGGAACGCTTTGCACACATTCCGTATCTGGTCTACGGTGCCAGTGAGTCCAAGCAGCTTGGGCGAGAACTCCTTTACATATTTGCCCACAATCTCTTTTGAGTCCCGCTCCGGATCAACGGTTATAAATATGGGCTGTACTTCTGGTGTCTGTGGGGATTTTTCTGCATAGCAAAGCTTCACATTATTTACAACTAATTTATGCATGCATCCAGCAGCTACACACCAATTTCATCGACTACTAAAGCCATTTTCTCCAGCTCGTCGGGACAGATATCGGGGCAGTGAGTAAAGCCGAAATAGATGAGCAGCCACTTGCCCAGAAAGTCGGAGGACTTGCGAACTTTACCTTCCGAATCAACCAATTCCCAGCTACCTCCTATGGCTGCCTTGCCCAGCTGCCGCTTGCGCTCCTTGAGCAGCGCCTCATCCTTCTCGCTCTTCACATACAGCATAAATCCTAGGCCGCCAACGCCCAATACACCAATCACTGCCAGGCTCTTCCATGTTATCGGTCCCTTGCCTTTTGTGGGATCTGCTGCTTTTGCCGATAAGTTACGTTGTTGCTGTTGCAATGCAGCACGTGCAAATGGCTGCACCTGCACTTGACTTTGGCAGTTTGATTGCGTCCAGCGTCTGCAGCCACCGATTAAACGTTGCAGTGCGCGCGACATTTTTGTTTTGCTTTTGGCAATGCTTTACGTAAATCTGCTGCTGGAGAGAACCGATTTCGCCGGTTAAATAGCTGAATGTTGCCATTCACAATGCTGCATTCACAGTGTTGCCAACTTGCGCCAATCTTGTGCAAATACATGTGTCGCAGTGACTACTGGGATTGTGATTTTTGTATGTTTAGCCGTTATGCTGTGAGTATAATGCAATATTTTGATTATTATTATTAATTCTTACTAGGCTAACTAAATATGTATCCATATTTTAGGCATATTTTCTATAAGAGATGCCCCGAATGGTAGGCTGATAATTTGTCAGTCACAGTGACCCAGTCACGAATAGCCAAAGAAAGCGCATCTCTGATTGTTTTGACAACAACCACGTGCGGCAACCAACCGACGATTGCGCTTGCTTTTATTTGGGATTTATTTCTGGATTAAACGTATAATAAAATGCCTGAAAATAAGAAACAGCCGTTGCTTTACATGGAGGAGTACAAGGTCAAGCAGGATCCCCAGGATTATGGGCTGGCAGACGAGGTCTTTAATATGGATGTGTTTAAAAGCAAATTGCAGGTGGTGATTGTACGGTAAGACTCTTGGAATATATTGTTGACCTGTACCCTTACCCGTATAAATTCCAAACTGCAGGAATGATGAAGAAAATGGCCTGGAATTTGATCTGATTGGTGTCTATCCGGCGATTGCAAACGCCTTTCGTCGCTTGATGCTAAGCGAGGTGCCGAGCATGGCCATTGAGAAAGTGTACATCTATAACAACACTTCGATCATACAGGATGAGGTTCTGGCGCATCGCATGGGTCTGTTGCCGCTTAGGGCTGATCCCCGTCTGTTTGCCTATCGCACCGAGGAGAGCACGGAGCAGGGTACCGAGCAGGATACGCTCGAATATGAGCTGAAAGTGAAGTGCACGCGTCGCAAGGATGCCAGCAAAGATCAATCCAATTTTGATGATATTTATAAGAATCACAAGGTGTATTCGGGCCATCTGAAATGGCTGCCCAAGGGCAAACAAGGACAGATTTACACTGAAAACAGCGTGGGCTGCATACATGAGGATATACTCATTGCCCAGTTGCGTCCGGGGCACGAGCTGGATCTGCGACTAATTGCCGTCAAGGGCCTTGGAAAGGATCATGCCAAATTCTCGCCTGTGGCCACCGCCTACTATCGACTGCTGCCCCAAATCAATCTGACCAGAGAAGTGACCGGCAAGGATGCCTATCTACTGCAGAGCTGTTTCTCCCCGGGCGTCATTGGCATCGATGAGAACGAGTGCGCCTATGTGAAGGATGCACGCTACGACAGCTGCAGTCGCAATGTCTACCGTTATCCGCATCTGGCCGATGCCGTCACAATGGCACGTGTACGCGATCACTATATATTTAATGTAGAATCGGTTGGCGCTCTGAAGCCAGAGGTTATATTTCTGGAAGCCGTCAAAGTGTTGAAGAAAAAGTGCCGCAGCTTTATAGATGAAATCGAGGCGGAATAAACATAAACATATATTTCTGTATATAAGTAAGTTATGCCTGTCAATATATATATAATTATATATAACTTGATAATAAGTTTAGGGTTGAAACAAATTTAGAAATTGCGTTTTGATTTACGTTTCAAGATTTTTAGTCGAAATTCTGTTAGCACTACCTGCAGGCGCTCCTGACAGAGCAACGCATCCTCCAGCTGCAATTGCAATTATAATTAAATAGTATTCTTAATTATAGCGAACACCTGACTTACCTCCATGTGGTTTAGTTGTAGGGAAACGCTCTTGCCAAATAGATCAAATTCGCTTATGATGTTGTCGTCTGTTAGATTATCATCTTGCATTTCATCAATTTTAAACTCTTGAATCGTCTCGGACTTTATATCTTGTTCGATTTCCTGGTCGCTTATCTCCTGTAGATATTGCTGCTCCATATCATCGTTGCCCAGCAAATCCTCCAGAATCGAATCGTTCGAGCATGTATCGGGCTCCATCGAATCAATGGATTCAACTTTATCAACTTTGGCCCGTTTCGCTTTTGGTTTTGGCTTCGAAGCAATTATATATTTTTGTGACATTGGCTTTGGCTCCTCATTTACGCTGGGCTCCATTTTGATCGCAATACCCTAGAAAAAATGCGTTCATTGTAAACGGTTCGACTTCCGCTGTTGTTGTTGTTGTTGTTGGGCGCTTACCTTTGCAGCGAACTGGTGGCACTTGAGGGCCTTTTGATGCTTGGCCGTGTTGTGGTGCTGCTTAATGGACGCGAGACGCGCCAAAACGTTGGCGTCGCATATTTTGCAGTGCGCCGAGTAGCCATCATCTCCACGGCACAACCACTCCGAAAACGATGGTAATCGCTCCCAATCCTCACGATATTTCTGATGGTACAGCCTGCGCACCTTGCTCATAGCTGTTGCCTCGGGCGGCGGCTGTTGGACTGTTGTTATTTGTGCAATTGTGCGGGACCTTAATAGACTTCTATTAGCGTTATTTTATTTTGAATAATGAGCGCCAAATCCTCGACTGTGTATTTTATTTGGTAATTCTTCTAGTATTTACATAAAAAATAGACCAAAACATTAAAAGGTTAGTGCGACCGCGTACTGTAAAAGCGTAAGTTGCCAAAAAAAATATTTTTTTAATTACAATGAAATACCAAAAATACCATGTTTGACATACAGTCTGCTGACATACAGCGCTGACGTATGCTCAATAACAGTCCATGAAAATGTTAACCCGTTGTTAACCTGAGAACTCTTTTACAGTAATAAAGAGCTAAAATATACTATATATGCAACATACTTTTAGCACAAAAAAAACGCTTCCTAGAAAGATATATAGGATGATGCTAACCATTAATAAAAATGAAGTTTAATTTCGCATTTGCGTGAACGTAATTTACAGCTGACATTACGAGTTAGTTAAAGCTAACAGAAATTTAAGGATTTATCGACTTTGCTGCTGTGGTCACATTGATTTTACAGGGTGACTGCAATTTTATGAAAATCAAAGCGAGAAAAATGCCGGCAAAAAGGTAGGACTGTTAAATTGCTTGGATATACAATTGGTAAACCTTATGAACTCGCAGAGCTTGGCGCAAGTTGGTGAAAAAACAACAAAGACATCGTCGACGTCAGAAGCAAGCGCGTCAACGGGAAAAAGACGAGGCGATAGAAGAAAAAGCGCGGGAGTCCGATCCCGAATACCAAGCGTACCTTAAGCAGCAGGTGGAGCTCGAACAATTTCAGCGCCTTGCCAGCGAGCGCTTGCGACAGCATGAAGAAGAAGCGTGGTTGCGCCGCGAAGCATTGGCCCAGCATCAGTTCCAGATCGATGCAGCCAAGCGTGCACAGCAAGAAGCCGAAGTGGATCGCCTGCGAGCACAGCAAGCTGAGGCATTGGCTGCTCAGCAGGAGGAGCAGCGCAAGCGGCGCGAAGAGAGTAAAAGACTGGCGGACGCGGCTGCAGCCGAGTTCGAGGCGATGCTACACCGCATGCATGAATACATGGAGGACACAGAGGAGCGCAGTCCACCAGCCGAACTGCGACGTGTGGTCGAAACGCATCCGGAGGAGCGATTATGCGAATTCTACACGCGCACCAATTGCTGCCGTTATGGTCACAGTTGCACCTTCAATCACAGACGTCCCATGCTGGCAAAGATCCTATTGATTCGCCACTTCTACACGCATCCACTGCTGCAGGTCGACGCGACACACAAGGAGTACGCCGGCGCTGACGAGCATTTGGAGCTGACACAGCACGATTTACGCGCCGACTACGATGAGTTCTTCAAGGATGCGACGGGCGAGCTGGAAAAATTTGGCAAAATTGTCAATTTCCGTACGGTGTGCAATACATTACCCCATTTGCGTGGTCACGTTTTTGTGGAGTACGCGCACGAGCGGTGCGTATTGAAATTATGCTCAGATCAATTTATTTATATGCGAGTAAACGTATTATTATTTTGTATATTCTGCAGATTTGCGCTGCGCGCCTTCATCAATTTGCAGGGTCGTTATTATGCAGCCAGGCGCCTAAATGTGGAGTTCTCCAATCTGAAAGCATGGCGTGGTGCCGTTTGCGGTACGTGAAGCGCATGTGTGGACTACGTATCCTTTTATAAAACCGCCAGCGTACATTTTGTATATTAGTATCAATGATAATTGAAAAGCTATTATTGTTTCTTACCCAACTTGTTGCTTCTTCAAGGTTTGTCCTTAACACGCAAATGTCCCAAAGGCTACAGCTGTGGCTATCTCCATTTGTTTCGCAATCCAAACAATTTGTTCAACAGCAGTTTGGAGCCGTACGGCACGCCGGGAAGTGCGCGCTCTGTCAGTCGAACGCCTAAGTCCAAGCAGATCAGGTAATTGCCAGGTACTTTTTAGTCTTTTGACTAAACTAAAACCATGTTCGCTCACAGCTGGCATGACAATGAGACGCAGTCGCGCAACTGGCGCTGGTCAGAGAGTCCCGAGCTCGAATTAAAGAACTGCAAATCTTCGAGCAGTAGCAGCAATGAGCGTGAAACTAGAACCAGGCAAGAGCATAGCCGTAAACGGCATCGTGTCCATTCCAGTCGAGAGTCTGGCCCACATAAGAGTCGCAGTCGTTCTGCGTCCGATTCTAGGCGGGATTATAGTCGCTCGAGAACACCAACACGACGGCGTCTCAAATAAACCAAAGTACTTAAATGATTGTTATTTTTTTTTTATGAATTACAACATTTTATTCAATCTCTTTGTTTTGCAGGGCAATCGAATGGTAAGTTTTTCTTTTCTCTTTCCTTTTCTTGTTCTGTTTTTTTTTTTTTTCTTTTTGTTTTGAACTAAAATACCAAAGAGATTTTGGGGCGTAGCGAATTTCCAGTAAATAGTCGTACTTAACAATTTTATATAAATACAATTTGTAGGAAGGAAATAGTTTAGTTTCAAAAAAATCGAGTTCTACGTGTAAAATTGGCAGTTACGAAGAGGGTTTTGTGAATTTTCCGGCATGTCTCTAGATGTCTATATATGTAAGATCGGGGTTTTTTTTTTTTATAAATTCTAAAGTCTATTTGTCTTGCACATTCGTCGTACACATAAAACAAAATTATACAAAAAGAACTCATTTAGGGAGTATTATAATAAGTAGCTTTAAAATTACACAAACAATGCAGAAGCATTTAAACTTCAGTAGCTTATAGACGAATGCCCGGATTTGTGGCCGCCACATAGCGCAGCAGCTCTTCGTTATCCTCGCAGATGACGGGCTTCTCGTGATAGCAGGCAACATCGTGCCATGCGATGCCATCGTTGTAGACATTGTTCAGCACGGAGAGACACTGCTCCTTGGTCTGGTTGATGTCGTACTCAGCATTGTCGGGCTGTGGGCGCTTCTTGTGACCGGTCTGCGACCAGGGATTGTAGCCCCAGCCCTGTGGAATGCGGTTGGTGGCCTGGATCTTCTCGCGGGTTGCAGACCAGAACCAGCCATAAACATGCTTGGGCTCCAGATCGGGACGATTTTCGCAGCCAGCGAAATCGCAAATGCGTCCAGCGGTCCAGATGTAGGGCACATCATTCTGCTGAATGACACGGAAGATCAGATTGTTCTTCTCTTGGGTCTCCAGTGCGACCAGATCCATGCAGTACTCGCGGCACAGATTACGACCATCCAACCAGTCGACCTTCCTGTTGGCAAGCGCCGGCACATGTGTGCTTAGGAACATGTTTTTGCCGCGATAGGAGAACTCCTTGGGGCCTGCAAGACGAGCACAAGTTCGGTTAGTTATAGTACAGGGGCTATGGCTGCACGCCCTCGAGTTCAATGCGATGCCGCGAGTGTATGCCGCGTAATGGGCAAAACATGCCGCGGATGCTTACACAACTTCCCCCACTGTCAGTTGCGCAATCTGTGCCAGCAATTTATGCAGCATACTGCTGCTAATGCTGCTCCTCCGTTTGATGCCGTCATCGTCGCCTCGCCGTCTGCCCGCTTTCCTTTGTCTGTGTGTCAAAAGGTTTTCCATTTGCCAAACAAAAAATTGGTTAAGCCAACAATGGAATCTCACCCCCCACCTACCCGACCGTACCCCTACGCTTACAGTATCTCCTCCTCCTCCTACTGCTGCTCCTCGGCAAACAAACGAAACTTGTTTCACATCGCTGCCTCTCTGAGCTGCCACCGTTGCGGCTACTGCAGTGCAGCAGCGTCCATTTGATTAGCTACTGCTGCTGTGTTGGCTTTTTAGCTTGTCTGTTTTTCTTATTTTTGGCGCGAACCAACTGTGCCACGCCTCTTGTTACCACTGCCGCTGCTGCTGGCGGCACGCGTCATTAGGCGCGCTTTAAGCGGCTTTAAAGCTGCCATCGCAGTTGCTGCCGTCAATTTTGCAATTGCCTTATGCCTGTTCGTTCGCCCGCCGCCGTCTCACTTCACGTCAAATCAGCTTAACTCTAACATAATGACCTTATTTGCCATTGTTTGCACATTATTATTATTATTATTGTTGCTGCCGATGCCGATGCTGCCAGACTGCTGCAATTTCCTCACTTTGCGGGTCAAGGCAATAAAAACAACGCGTCACATTGGCGCGCATTAACCCCACTTTCTTTCGGCGCGTTTTCCTGCATACAGTGCGAAAATATAAATAAAATTCCCAATTGCATCATTGCCAAACAACTTCCCCAAGTATACATTGAACTGTGCACATATACATACACACATACATACATAGATATATCGAAACAGAATCTCAATCTCTGCTTGCGGTGCGGGCTTAGAAAATCCGTTTTTAAATGTAAATTAAATAAGCAAGCGCACAGTTTGCATGCTTGAGAGTTGTTATTAACGAGCAGCGACGCCGTCGTCGACGTTGTCTATACCAGGTAATTAAGTTTGAATAGTTAATTAGTTTATTTAACTTTAAAGTTGTGCTTGCTTGTATAACTGGAAATTTCTAAAAAGATGAAAAGATCTAAGCCACAGCAGCGCCAACAAACTGGCTATGCAACTTTATGGGCCGTCACGTTGCGACGCGATGACGTTGTTGCCCAAAAAAAAAAAATAGAAACGTTAAGTTGCATTTTCAGTTTCAAACGGGATGCACACAAATGTATGCTTTTTGATGTATGTATATGTGTGTGTGTGTGTGTGCGCTGCCTAATTAGTGCCAACTGCTAACTGTGTTCATTAGTGTACCGGATGTGCAGCGATGACGCTATTGTTTGCATCTTAAATCTATCAGCTGCATTTTCGCAATCCTCTGCTGTGCATTTTGTTTGAATACAAATGCAAGCGGTGACTTGCAGGATTTATATATATCTGTGTGTGTGTGTGTCTCAGTGTGTCTTATAATTGTGCCTGTCAGCGGGGTGGCAACGCTGCAGCTTCTGACCAATCCGAATACACAACGTCTTATAAGCAAAGTTAAAGAAAGTGCGTGGGTGGCGACAATTCGATCACGTCAGCGACCTTCAGGCGCCCACCCGGCCCCGTGTCTGCCCCCGACCTAACACAATTAAATATATATTGTAATTGTTGTGGCTGTTCGTAACACACCCACACGTCGCATTGCTAAACAATTTCAAGTGCAAACTTGGCAACTAAGCTGGATGTGTGCTATTTAATATTCTTCTAACGTTTCACACTTTTACTTTTTGCCACATTTGCAGCAATATACATACATATATAATGAAATACTTACGGCTAGCGCACTTGGCGGGCACGGGCAGTGAGAGGAAACGACCCGGCTTGGTGCCTGTGGTTGTTGTGGTTCTGCCCTTTTGCGCATTGGCGCAGGCAGCCACCAGGCAGAAAGTCGCTAACGCCAAAGTGACTTTCATCTGCAAAGAAAAAAAAGAAGTAGAAGAAGAAAATATTAAATATATGTAAGCGGGGAAATTTGCAAAGATTACAAGCTCAGGGCGCAGTGCGTGTGCGGAATGTTGTTTAAATTTGTTTTGATTGCGTGCCGCTGTACATGTGTGTACGTGCGTGTGTGTGTGTGTGTATGTGTATTGGCTTATCGAAGATGTAACTCGGTGCGCATGGTTTTTATGTCAAGGATGCATTGGTGCCAACCAACCGGTTGCCCGAGGCGTTTCGCGTCGCAGCAGCGGCCACTGACACACTGCCTCAGTGACGGCGACGGCGACGTCGACGGCGACGGCGACGGCGACACTTGAAACTTTATTTTTATTGTAGCTTAGCATCGGCAACGTGATCAGCATCAGCAGCAGCAACATTGCCATCGTCACATTATTCATAAATATAAATTCATTTAGCATCTGCTGCAAACATGTTGATTACACAAGCCAGAGAGCTAAGCCCAATGGCTAGCCGGGCCAGCAGCAGTGTTGCCAATTCAGCCATTTTCTAGCTAAATGTGGCTACATTCGGCGGCACTCGGCCACAATTAGTTGAAATCTAAAACAGATTTAGCTATTTTCTGGCAGCTCAATTAATAGCTTTTTTTTTTTAACAGTGGATTTGGCTACTTTTTTGTAGCGCCAATTGGCAGCACTGGCCAGCAGCTGACCTTAACTGGTTTTATTGACTTTTGTATTGGGTTTGTTTTTTACTTTTGTTTTTGATTTTAGCATTTTTGTGACGCTGGCTAGAACCTTCCACGTCTTTTGCATATAGATTAAAGCGCACCCACTGTCGCGGCTGCTTCCTTATGCGATGCCATCAATCAATGCTCAATGCCTGTCGGGGGCCAGTTCGACAAGCGACAAACATTTGAAATTTTGCATGTTAATTTGATTTTATTGCTTGTGCGTGTGTGTGTGTGTGTGTGTGTGTGGCGGTGATCTTTGTCATTAGGGGTATTCATGAGCTGCTGACCCCCTCCCGTTTGCTAGAGATTTTGCAACATGAATCATTAATGGTTCGCCTAATGGTCACCGCGGCTGCCGCAGGGCTTATCAGCCGTCGACATTTGGAAATTGAAAACCAATTTTGTGCATAATGAAAATTTGATACGTTTTCAAAAGTTGCGCGATCGATTATGGATTTGACATCAAACACGATTTTTTCGAGTGTGTTTTGTTTTTTTTTTTTGGTAGTGAAAAGTTCAAAAAAAAAAAAACACGCCCGCCGGGCCCTAATAAATGCAGTTTGGAAACTTGCATTTCAATATCTCTGCGAGTATTTCCCAGTGTGTGTATGTGTTTTGTAATTTGTTGGCTTTGTGTATTTTGTTCATGGGCTCATGCATTTTAATCAATATCAATCAGCCGACAAACTGATATGTATATGTAGATACATTTAAATATTTGTATTGGTATGCGCCCTTTTTATGACTGCTGGCCAAATAATATGCATGCCAAGTCGGCACACATTTTTTCTCGTATTTGTCTATAATTTATGCATGTACATTTTTGGTGTGTTGGAAGTTTTATGTTGCAAGTTGCGCAAAAGCGCTCGGGCCTCAAATTTTTACAACATACTATATACAAAATGATGTTCAGTTATTGTCTTAGCAAATTTGCTCTTCAAACATATTAACCTCTATATCTTAAAGTGTTTTCTGATATGGTTACTTTTGAGTAAAGGCTTTAAACAGTTTTAGTTTCAAGCTAACAATAGGCTGAGTCAATGAACTTTGACTGTAAAGTCGAAATTGGCAAAAGAATGTTTAGTTGGGCCAACGAACTTGTGCGTAAAAAACAAAAGACTTGGCACACAAACTTGATTTTCAAATCAATCAAAAAACCGTTTATAATGAATTTAGAGATCCAAACGGTCGGAGTTTTTGTCAAATTTAGTTTTAAATACAGCTAAAAATTTCTTGTCGAATTTTTAAAAAAATCTACTTAAATCTTAAAAATTCAATAAATTTTCCAAGGAAATAGTTCATGCACATATTTGAGTTTTTCTGTTTTGTCAAGATTACTGCAACTTTTTAATCCATAACAAATCCAAATCAGTTGTCACATCCTTGCACAGAGCACTTTTGATATTGTATATGTGGAATATATACCAATAATTGTATGTTAACTGTTCAACACAATAATGTTTATTGGCACTGTTGCATTAAGTCCTTCAATATGATCCACGCACACATACACAAAACACACTGAATATCCTTGAACGCGCCAGTCTGCTTACCTTTTGATATTATATTTGTTTCTTATATTTCACACCACAAAAAATCACTTTTTCGTTTCTCTGTGGTCCAACTGAGACTCCGCTGTTGCGCCGGAGACAAAACCAGACGAGACGAGACCAGACGCAAATGTGAATAGCAACGAATATTCAGGCAGCAGCTCAGCCGGCTTTTATACGTTCCAATTGGCAAAATGGGCGGCTGCCACTCCCCGATATTAAATATATACACATTCAATACCAGCGCGAGCGTTTGCTGCCCAGAGAGCGAGAGCTCGTACCCTGTGCAGAGCATTGCAGCTTGAACTTTTGTCAAAGCTTACGCTCTCGCTTGCGCTCTCTCAGCTGCTGCGCCGTAAGCTTGGCTTGGCTGCGCTCTCTCGCCGCAATCGCCGCACATTGATTCGCATCTTGTCTTGAGTAGTTATCATAATTGAAATGATGTGCAACAGTTGTGCCCGCTTGTGAGATACAATTTTTTAAATGGCAAACAGCAATAACCAAATCGCCATCGTATTGCATTTTAAAAGTATTTGATAATTTGTATAAACTTATACGATGGCAAAACCTGTTCATTTATAAACGATTTTATTTAGTCAGCTCTGCATGCACATCAGCTGCGTTTCACTGTGCAGTGCAATGCTCAGAAGCAGGCAAGAAAAAGGAATGAAGCAGAAACCGTAAATGAACTCAGAACATCTTTAGACAATGACAACTTTTGTCAATAAATATTTATATGGCCAGCGTATCTTTATATACATATATATAACTAATTTTTTTTTTGTCTTGTCGTTTTTAATTTTTTTTTTTTCTGCGAATTTTATTTATTTACTTTTGTTTTAAAGGCAAAGTTTTGTTTGTTATGGCGCTGTTGTTGTTGCTGCCCAGGCTGCGATCTGTAGTACGATCATTCCAATTTTAATAGCTTTAACTTAAGCATTTGCTATACTTGTTGCTTCTGTTGTTATTGTTGTTAGTTGCTGAGTGCCTGGCACTCAAAACAAATACCGTGTATTTCAAAATTTATGCAAACACTTGGCGCACCTTTTACGCATCATTTTGATGGCGATGGCTTCGATGACTTTGGCGCTTGCTTCATATATCAATTTGTCAAGTGTTGTTGTCGTTTCTGTTATTGTTGCTATTGTTGTTTAAATTGTTGCTATTGTCAGTTGCTATTTACTAGGCCTTGATCTTGAAAAGCCTTTCGAAATGTCGCCGTGGGCTCTGTGTGCTGGCTTCCGCGCGGCTGCTCATCGCACGCGCTCAAAGTAGAAGCCAAATATTTTGTTAATTTATTTATTTTTTTCTTCTCATTTATTTGGTATACCCTAAACCCATTGAATATGGTTAAGAAGGGTATCATAGTTGGGTGCAAATATCTCTAATAGACAGACAACTAAATAATCAAGAAGTTTTGAAATTTCGTACCGTTCCATTGTCACAGTATCGATAAATATCGTTTTTGAGACTTCGTTTTTTAACTAGGCACATCAGACTTCGATACCTTAGACTAATCGCCCCGATATTGAAAATTAATTTTGTTTTCCATGAGGTCTCGTTTATAAGCATATATTTGGTCAATATTTAAAGATCGGACTACAAACACCGAGTTAATCAAGAATACATTTTCTATACAATGTGGCGAAGGAAAGCAACAGCTTGAGGGTATCTGCTAGTCGGGCACTCTCGTCTCGAGTACTCCTACTTGTTTTTTGTTCGATTGATTTTTTTCAGTGTGAGTGCTTCTTTAATTGCCATGTGAATGAACTGGCAAAGGATAAGCTATTAATATTTGGTATTTGCTCTCATAAATATTGCTTAACATGAAGTCGCGTCTCGGCGTGCTCCAAGCAGCTGGTGCTTGTCGGTGCCAGCCGGATCTGGCGGCGCTCAGAGAAGATTCTTAAAAAAAAATTGACATTTATGTCAGCCTTTTTATTTTTTATTTTCGCTCATAAATATGCAAATGTATTTCTATACGCTTTGATTATGTAATTTACGGAGATCGGAAAAAAAAAAAACAAACTGGCACACGAAGTTCGGGTTCTTTGGGTTCAAGTTTGTTAGCTCGACAAAACGACAATCAGACTCAAATCCTTTTTAATGGCCCACAAAAAAAGCATTGACATTTTGGCCAGCTGAACCGGTGACACACGCTCAGCATCAGCGTTGACCTTATGGCCAACAACTGCTGACTTGATTTCTGTTGTCTGCTAATTGACCATGAAAAGATGCCTCTGTGTGTGTTAGTGTTTGAGTGTGGTTTTTGTTTGGGTGGCGCCATTGTTTGCCATTTAGTAGCATTTAATAGAAAACAAATTTATTGAACGGATTCGGATTCGTATTCGGATTCGGATTCGCGCACCTCTCACGTGGTCGTGCCACATTAGAGGCCAGTCCCCAGACACACAGAGAGACAGACAGACCCAGTTTTGGTGTTCCAGCTGTGCTTTGATTGTACACTTTTAATTAGTCTTATTAACTGGATGCACAGCCAAGGGGAGGCCACAGCCAACAGGGGGCTGGCCCCCTCGAGCAATAGCTGTGAATTGTCGATTGGGCCACGAAAATTAACACCAAATTCAAATTAATTACACTTAGCCAAGTTGTGTTAAAATCTGTGCGAATTTCGTATTTATTATTGCCAAAACGATGATGCCGCAATTCTCGCTCATTTGCGGAAGTCAACATATTTTTTTTTTGGCGCAAAAATTCAGAATTTCGGTTCAAAGTGGGAAATTTGTTAATTGGTTTTTGTTTCTTTTTGAAACATTTTAATTCTCTAATGATTGTTTATATTGATACCCTGCAGCTGTTGAAAGCTGGGCATATTAAATGTGTACAAATATTCCTTTTTATAGATATTTTAAAAATTTCCAATTGCTGAATATCCCTTTTTACCTGAAAGAGTTTCTATTCGAATGTTGTTGGTCAGAGATATATCTGAAAGAGGTTTTATTCTAATATGTTGTATAGCTCTTTTAACAGCTTCTAATTGCTGGAAATCCTCTCTTTATCTGGAAGATACTAAATTCCTAATATGTTGTATAGCCACTCAATGGCTTACATTGTCAGGGAATCCCGTAAGTTCCTGGAGGAAGAACAAATCTGTTGTAAAGCAGAAAATCTTCCATATCTTCGCAGCATTCTATAAATTTCTTTAAAGATCTCTAATCTTCGTTTCGTATAAAGTGTGTAACATTATTAAATACATGAGCATATGCCAACATACATACACGTCAGCGATCTGGGCATCCCCTATTTTAGTTTGTCTGAAGTATTCCCAACTGTTGGTTTAAGGAGCTAATACGAAAACTGGAATTGCTTGGCTCTTATACAGGTTTTTTTTTTTCTTTCGGTGACAATCACAACGTCTATCAACTAAGTCAAATATTTATTTAATTAATTAAAATGTGTGTTCAACACGTGTCAAAAGCAGACATTTGTCAGCTGAACCAGTTCACAGCGCACTGGTTCCGAATGCTTGTTTTTAGTTCCGAGGCTTGGCTTAGATTGGGTTTTTATTTCTCATACATTTGCCATAATTGATGCAATCCATAGAATATACAAACTCTGCAGCTTGTTAACATTGTGCAATGTGTGTGTTTTTTATTTCAATTTTATTTTTTTTTAACAATTTTAAGTAGTCTTTGGTCTTGGCTTGTTTCGCTGCTTGAACACATCCGCGGCTGCTGTCTTATATTTTTTTTCGCACCTCGTTTATTGCATCTGCTGCATAAATCAACATCCGCTGCCGCTGCTGTGATTATTGTTTTTTTCTTGATCATGTTATGCATTTTGTTTTTTTTTTTTTTATTCAGTGGCCTTTTAATCATTTTCGCCCTAGTAGCCGGTTTTTACATGCATTTCCTGCGATAGTCGCACCAGTTTTGACCTTGGCGAGTTCAGAAATCGCGGCAAATTGTTTCCACGAACTGTTCGCCTGGCTTAGTCACACCAGTCCAGTTTTCCCAATAACCATGATTATGGCTAATCATAGCATTTAAGAAGGAGAGAGAGATTCTTGTTAAAATTTGTACGTGACTGTCTGTTTGTATATGCAAATTGCGCATACGCCCCGTAGGCTGTTCGATATTTTGTCAGCTGTGATTGACAGTTTTATGCGAGCCAGCGACCTTCAGTGACTAAGCAACTAATAGACAATACCATTCCATCAGATCAAAAGGCATCTTCATCAACTACAATAGGCGTCGATATAGGCATTTCCATAATTTGATGCATATGACATCAAATGTTCAAAGTGTTCAAAATGTTTCAAAGATTTAAACAAGATCATGCGCTCCAAGCGCGGAAGCCCCATAATCAACAACAACAACAGCAACATCATCATCATTATCTCAACATCATTATCATCAAGATCGTCATTTGCATCTTCAATTCTGTCCAAACACAGCGCTTAAAGAAGCCGAAACTGAAGCTTCCGTGAATGCGTTATTCACCATTAAGAAAAAAACCACATAGAGCAGCAAGAAATAAGAAATAAAAACCGAGTTCAACAATGAAGATGCTAATTGCCAAGAAACTAAACCAAGTAGAAATCAAGCGCAACAAATACTATAATCAATCTATTTAAATAACACCAAAAATTTGGAAGCTATAAATAAAGCAAGCATCCAGCCAACTTGGTTTGACCTTAGCTTTGAGTTATGATATTGCATTGAATGGAATCGAATCGAATTAAAGACACAACAAATCGAAACGAATGGAATTGAATGAAATGAAATTGAATGGAATGGAATTGGATTGGATTCGTTACGCTGCTTCAATTCACAAGCTGCGGTTTCTGCTTTTACTTGATTTTCTGTTCTTTTTTTGAACATAATTAAATGAACGTGGGGCGCTCTTAAGTTCTTAGGAGGAACCTTAAACATAATAGCTAAATTAATTTAAATAATACAAACTATACAAAACAAGCTGTTTAGAATTTATTAATTAATTTTGCTGCGTTCAAGTTTCAGAAAATTTATTGATTATAATAAGCGAGGCGAGGCTTAATTGTGTGCTTTTTAGGCCTTGAACTTTTCGATCAACCTTTATTCTTGAACAAATGCGTTTAATTTCGTTTAATTTTCCATCGCTTAGCGCCCAAATCTAATTGCCTTTCTTTGTTTATGCATT